AGGCTTCTTCAACTTGTGCAATGCAATGACAAGGACTATGATCTAGAAGGAATCTAGATCATAGTGTTTTTATCTGTTCACATCTCTTTTACAGGGTCACATAAAGCAACAAACAATCTCTTGAACAATCAAAACAGCATCCAGTTTGAGCTCTTCTGGATGAAAACAGTATACCAGACATCACTCAAAATAATCGCAAATGATAAAGCAGGTTCACAACATTCTTTGTGAGCAAACACAATTTAACAAGCATTCAGTAGCAAATTAAAACAATACTTGCAGTCATGCGATAAAGGCAAGCCCAATGCACCAATCCACACTGAAGAGTTCCTATGTATGTGTGAGAAACACAGGCAAATAAATGAAAAAGGAACATGAAATACAGCAGAAATCTGGCTGCTACCTGAACATTTCAAAGCAGCTGGGAATTCTGATAAGGCATGCAGTGTGTGAAGTGAAGCAAAAGTTGACAGGCATGCTCATTTAACTGAGACAGCTAAAAAAAAAAATTGTTAGTCCTTTTGGTCTGTTTCTCCCAGTCTAAAAAGTCTACAGTCAGATCCTCTTCATCCAATCCCCTCACCCCAATAGACACAGAAAGAATTGTCTGGATGTATCTGTAAGATTGAGCCAAGCACTGAATAAAACACAAAACTGTTGCATCCTGGACAGTCATGTAGACATCTGTTCACAGAACTGAGTAACATCCGTATGATTTCTATTTACAGGTTACCAACAATGCATTCTGAGATGAATGGGAATAGGGAGCCAGTCTGCCTGGACTTCACCCCCAGTATTTCAGAAGTGCAGCCAATTTTCAAGGCTAGAAACAGCTGTTGGATGTTTCCACCTAGGTAAGACAAAGTAAAAAACACTTCTGTCCTCCCCAAATTCTAGGCTGGCCAGACCTAAATTGCCATTGCTACAAAAGCTGGGATACTGAGTGCATATATCAGGCTGCCCAGGGCTGCAGAGCCATGATAACCTGGGTACAAACAGATCAACCTTTAGCACTGTGCTGGAACACCCCCTGACAGTAGGTCAGGATTTGTTTTTCTCCTACTGAAGGGTCAAGTTTTACCAATCTCATTTTCTCCCAAGGCAGTAAATCCTCAAGTACAATTTAAGCACTTGAATGATGCAACATGATGGCGAGGAGACCAAGCTGTTATTAATAACCTAATGCTTTCCAACTAACCCACAGAGTTGCATGTTAGCTGCTGACAAACTGATACTGCACAAAATCACCCTGTGGAGCATAGGAAATACGACTTTATGTTTGGACTGACTACCTTTAAATTGAGTCTGAAGACTGCAATGGACTTACAGCTTTTCAGTTCTACACTTTAATTATCTCCGTATTATTGATCAATGTTTAAATGATACCCAAAAGTAACTGATTATTCATACTTGTGCTGTTTCTGTTCTAGGATTTCATGCATAACCTTCTTAAGTGATCAGAGACAGAAACAATTTGCCTTAATGAGTGTAAAGCCGATGAAGCATCTTCACTTCATACACTGTAAGCTTCATTTCCCACGTTCTACACTGCATGGCCATCTCTGCTTGATCCTCAGGCTTAACAGGTCTGGCACTGCCATACCCTCACTGTGCATCTCTGCATGATTACAGAAAAGGTGAGACAGGAAAGCGTAACTCCTTCCCTACCGGAGGAATAAGCAGTGTCTATTTTCTTAATGCAGAGGTTGACATTTTATCCTAAATTTACCAAAGCTCTACTGCTTCCCATTCACACTCCCCATACCGAGTTTGCTCTTCACTACATCTCCAGAGCTTTCCTTACAGATCTGTTCTCTGTCGTCTGCCCATACCACCACATTCCCACACCATGCATTCCTTCTGTAAAAGGACAAAGGCCATCCTGTAGAGTGCAGTGCTATACAGGGAAAAGTAACGTGCCTGAAAAACACAGAGTCACACGGCTGAGCATGTTTTAGAAGATACAGGTGTCTACATCATGATAGGTATGACTAGCCATACTTCTGGAGCTTTAAAACTCATAAATGAAGACTGCTTGATTACTGCTTCAAGCATTTACTTACTGACTACACTGATAACAAAGGAAGCGGACCACTTTCCACCTGAAAAGTTACCCCTATCTGCAGTCACGCATCTCAGGGCAAGTATCTCATACATCAGCAATCATCAGTACTCAAAGCACAACGCTAGGCAAGGATGCCTTCTCACAGACACTTCTTCACAACACTGTGCCTCTGAAATGCTCAGAACTCCACTTTGTTTAGATAAGATATTAAGTCCCATCCTACTGCAAAACACTGTGAAGTGCTTCTGAAGGTTGTATTAGTTTGTTAACAAAAAAAGCTTCTGGTGATGACTTTCCTACTAGATATCTAATAAAATGTCATGCTTAAGTGTATTTTCATTTCATACCTGCAGCCCACGTGACATAGCAAACAACCGTCTGTCTGGAAACAGCCCTTACAGCTTATTAGGAAAATTTGTGCCTCATACATCAAGAACCAGCTCCTGGGTAAGACAACATTCATTACATCCCCCGTGAATTAAAATGATATGTAAAATAAACATCCACCTCACACCAAGAACTCATCTCAGGATTTGTATACAGCAAATAAAGATTTCCCTCACTATAAGCTGTAGGTGCACAAAGTGTTCTTTCAAGTCCTGACATAAATCTGGTTTCTCGTTGTGTTATCTTTTTCCCTTTGTCACTGTTGCAGTGCAGCCTCACCACCTTTCTGCTGTCTTCCTGACGCTGCATGCTTCCTGCAATTACCACCTGGCTCACACGGGACAAAACTCATCTTCCCATCAGATCAATACATGGCGAAAGAAGCACCACGATCCTCTCTGTTCCAAAGAGCCGAGCCCTTCAGTAAGGGACTCCTGTGTGGAGCCATTGTTACTGCACTGCTGTTACCCCTGCCTTGCCTTTCCCCACCACCTTCTCAACAATACTGTTTTTATTTATTTGCAATGCTTTGAAATTGTTTTGATGCCTGTCTTAAGACAGAGATGGCTTCACCTGGATTGAGTATAGGTGTTGTCACATCTGACAAAACTCTTTAGAGTCTTCAATTAGAAATAAAGAAGTCTAAGCTTCTTTGCTCATCTTGTTTTCTGGCCAGTATTACTGGCTTTTGTTTTGTCTGTGAAAAGATGACATTTCAAATAAGATACACAATGTTTTATTTATTCAGCCTGATGCTCCCATTAGCAGTGCAAAATCAACACTCATTTTGATTTAAAAAAACAAACAAACAACAAAAAACAATTTCTGAAGCAAAAGAGAGCTTCCTTTGAAAGAAGCAAGGACAATCTTTATATCTACACACGATCAAGGGAAAAGTACCCTTTTAGTTATAAAAGCTAAATGGGCCAATGCAGATGATGGAAAAGAAGAGCACCAACCCAGAGCAAGTGAATGACCGAAAAAATCTGTTTTAGCCTTCCCTGCTGGAAACAGGCACAGGAGGCCCTGACAGCAGTGCAGGCTCCGGGCCGCAGGACAGGACAGGGCAGAGCAGAGCCCCCGCACCCACAGCACACCCAGTGCCATGCAGACAGCCAGGAGCTGCACTATGGGCTGTGTGGCTGCAGATTCACACACCCACATGGCACTGACATGTGCAGCAGCCATGTACCAACAAAATATGCCTGGGGTACCTATGGCTTCCCAATACAGCACAATAAATTTCAGTGGTTATTTTCATAAATTTAATAAAAGTATCACTGCCGCTTATTGGCAGTTTTTTAGATGACTCCTCAGGGAAGCCATGCAAACTGTGTTGTTTGTAAACCCCTTATAATTACTAAAGCACACTGACGTCCTGAATTAGTGCAGCAAGCAGCAGTTCTAGTAATGCCAGATGGAGATGTGGTGGAGATGAAAGCACTACATTCCTATTTAAACACTTCAAGCTGCCTGAATAACTTTCAGTAATACTCATTTTTATCACTTAGAGCCACAGAACATTTCAATTGCAACCTAATCTCAATATTTAAAGCAGCATCTTTTGTACAGATTTGAAACAAAACTTACCAAACCTCCTTACACTGACTGTTTCTAACTGTATCCTCAGCACCAGCGTGAATGACCAAGTGTGTGAACAACCAAACATGCACCACAGCGGGAGAGTTTCAGATTTACTACCTACTTGGTGAGCAATTTTGGTGAGCTTAAAGGTTCACTAGATTCCTAAAATGAGATCCAACTCAAGCAGCGGGCCACAGCCTTTTCACTGCTCTGCTCTTACATCTGACTTCACCACAAGCGGAGATGCGGCCAGGGGTGCATCTGTGGTTGTGGCATAAGGAGAACGAGAGCCCGGACTGAATACTGTCCGTTAATGTGCTGCATTCTGAATAGAGTACCGCTGTTAAGGATGAGCCACACACCTGATGGCTGCCACCACTCCCGAGAGCTCGCAGCGACAATGTTGCCGTGAGAAAGCACCGGCTGTGCCTCCAGCAACGTCTCCAGTGTGTTTATGGTGGAGCGGATGCAGCATTTGTTCTTAAAAATACTCTCTTCAAGTTTTCCTGTGCAATACTTACAGTGGACCACACATTAAGAAGCAAGATCAGATAGGAACTGGGGACGAAACGGGTAGGATTCCCCTTCAAAACAAAAGAAAAAAAAAAAAAAAAAAAAAAAAAAAAAAAAAAAAAAGGAAAAAAGAGAAAGAAAGAAGGAGAGAGGATTGCCCAAACACAGAGCAGACCTTCGGGGCAGGACGCCGGGACGCGGGCAGCACCCAACGCCCCGAACCCGCTCTTCACACCCGCACAAAGTGCAGTTCCCCGCAGCGCCCCCGACCCCGGCCCTTCACCCCCAAGACGCGCACCGCGCTCCGGCTCCGCGCTCCGGCTGCTCCCGCGGGGCCGAGCTGCGCCCGCAGCCCGAGGGGTGACGGAGCCCGCGCCGCACGGCACGCACGGAGAGCAGTGGCCGCCACCTGGCCGCCGGCAGAGGCGCGAAGCCGCCGCCCGCTACTCACCGCCCGGCTCAGAACTTCCCCCAAGTTGCCCGGCGCTCCCCGCCGTAGCCCCAGCACCATCGGGGCGCCTCGGGCAGCAGCGGCCGCCGCCCGCCCGGCAGCCGCGGCAGCGCCGCTGGGCACGCAGCGAGCGCGGCGTCGCGCGGGCCGGGCCGGTCGCAACTTGCTGGGAGGTGAGGGTCGCCCGCGGCCGCGCCCGCAGCGCCCTCCCCTCGCGGGCGGGGAGCGCCCGCCGCCCCCGCCGCCCCCTCCGCCTGCGGGTCGCGACTCACTTCGCTCGCGGGAGCCGGCAGCCCCCTCCGCGTTGCCCCTGCGCGCTGGGGCGCGGGGCTTAGCGGCCGCCGCCTCCGCCGCCTCCGCCGCCTCCTCCCATGGCCGCCGCGCCCCGCTCGGCAGCTCGCTGGCCGTCAGCCGCGGGAAGGAGGGGATGAGGGAGCGGGGCCGGCGGCGCGCCGGGGGAACATGTCTGTCGGGAGGGGCCGGCGGCCGCCTCTGCTCGGGGGAGGGAGAGAGGGAGGAGAGGAGGGAGGGAGGGAGTCGGGCGGGGCGGGAGCGGTGCGCGGGGGGCTGGCGGCGGGGCTCGGCGCATTCCTGGGAGCGCGGCTGGCCGCCCGCCGCCCGGCCTGGGAGCGCTGCGCCCGGCGGCTCCGTCTAGGGGAGGAGTTGGGCTACTGCAGCGCGTCCCGCAGGCCGCGGGCTGAGCCCGGTGCCCCGCGCTGCCCGCTGCCCCTGCCCCGAGGCCGGGCCCGCTTCGTGCCGCGGCGGTGCGATTCGCGGAGAGGCGACTGCGGTCTGCAGGGAGCGTTGTCTGATGGGTGCGCGTGCGGCCAAGCGCCCGGCACCGTGCTGCAGCCCTCGAGTAGGCAACGGCTGTAGGCAGAGTGCCTCGTGGGGCTCCTCCTGAAGTCAGACTGGTTTTTCTTCCGACACTTTTATAGAAGAAATTGCCCCAAATGAGCATATCCCATAGTTTGTTTTACTTGGGTATAACACTGTTGAAGTACCCACGTGTGGAGAAGTGACCTCGGCAGCGACATGCTGATCTGTGAGGCCGTGCTGCGGCTTCCCTGTGTTGCACAGCATCCTGCTCCTCGTACCATAGGGAGGACAAGGGCCACATAACACTGAAGTGTTGCAATGTTTCACAGTCACTGGGTGAAGTGACTGGGTAAACCGTGATGGAAATCACATTCTGAAATTAACCCAGAATAAAAGGGAATCGCAGCTTCCCTTGTGATAGGACACGGGTTCAAACTGAAACAAGGTACTTAGATCAGGTATAAGAAAGAAGTTTTTTACAATCAAGGTGGTGAGTCATTGGAACCATTTGCCCTGGGAGGCAGAGGATGCACCATCTCTGGAAACATTCAAGATCAGGCTTGATCAGGCTCTGAGCAATCTGATCTAGATGTAAGTGTCCCTGTTCTGTGCAGGAGAGTTGGACTAAATGACTTGTAAAGGTCCCTTCCAACTAAAATGATTCTACAATTCTTCCCCAAGTTCCCTGCTGTGGTTTGATGAACACAAACATGTGGGTTGCAGTGGCTGGGAGCCGGAGCCCACACTGTTCGAGTCTGAGCTGCCTGGCTTCAGGGAGCTCGTGCGTCTTGCAAGCAGCCCTCGCACACAAAATAAGCGGCCCTCAGGCGGCTGTCCCTCCAGGCTGGCTCTCTGCCTGCTGGCATGAGAGCCAGACCAAGAGAGGGGGCAAAAATATGCAGCTAGGGAAAGATGGGCAGTGAGATGTGACCTCACTAATTTGGGACTAGCTTAAAAGAATTGCAGTCTAACATGGCATGTTAACTCAGAGTCTTGCAGAGGTTTTAATCTAAGTGCCTCTTATGGCACATGGACACATCTTCCTTACTCTTACACCAGAACTATCTCCTTCCCTTTTCCCACTTCTGGAATCATGGAAACAATATTGAGCATAGCTTTTCCATTAATATATATGTACGTGTAATGGACATACAGTTCAATTCTCACCAGCGGTTAGGGGGTTCACATTCACATCTCCTGGGAGATGCCTGTGCTGCCAAACCTGTGGTTATTCCTGAGGCCTTTCATTCTGACTTCCTGCTTCTGAATCTATGGGAGAGTATAATTAGCAACTCATGGGGTTAGAAACTGCAACCACAGACCTGATCCAGACTCTCTCATTCTGTGGCTGGAGCACTCTGCTGGAAGACAGACGTGTTCCAGCCCTTGTGTTTATGGTGGTGTTCAGTACAACGTTCCTGTAACATGATAGGAATATATCTCAGATTATTACCAACTATTTTATATAGGCACAGTGGCAGAGGCAGTTGAACATCAATATCACCAGACAGGCAAAAGATGTAAAAGTTCCCTCCTTATATGTACAAATCAGCAGAGGTATTTATAAATCAGTAGATTTAACATATGCTCCTGATTTATTCTTCCCTGTGTTTACTGTATCCTGAATAGTGATTTTTTTTTTTAATAATTTCTTTTTGTGGCATGTAGTTTAATTTCACGGGGATTAATGTCAAATACATCCCAACCAGATGGGCAAAAGCCCATTTGGGGGGTAATAATGAGGATTTTGCCTCTAAATTAGATCTTGAGTCTCCACACTGGCTACTAGCCTAGAAGCTGGAAAAGCACAGTGCTCTGTGTGTTATCTGTCTGTAGGGTATTGCCTCAGTACAGGTAAATAGTGTAACACACAGTCAATTGAAAAAAGCGTTGGTTTTTTTTTTGCTTGTTTTTTGTTTTTTTGGTTTTTTTTTTTTTTTTTTTTTTTTTTTTTTTTTTTTTTTTAATATAATCAGTATATTCAGCTTCAGTGAAGAATTTGGGGGGATTATGTGATTCCTTTATTCTGTTCTGATAACATGTGATTGTGTTTTAATGATCACCAGAAATTAATTTCAGAATATCTGAGCGTGAGTCTTAAGATTAACTCAGCCACATTATAGGAATTGATTATGTTCTTTATACATCCACTAAGAAATATCTACCTTTTTACTTTCACGCATGCCTATGTACTTCACTATTTTTTTTTTCATTTACACTGCATTCTTACTCTCTAGATTCCTTCAATCTCCTTGGAAAGCCTGGAAAAGCAAGTTTGACTAGAATACATTCAATAAAGACGTGAATTCTGACCTCTCTCCTGACATTTTGCTTTTCTGCAAAATATACAATAATACCAACATCAGCTAGTGTGAGTATTCTCTTAATATCCACTTTGATCCATTCAGAAGAGTAATATTAAACGTCATCTCCATTCCAAGTGTGATGCTATGGAACCGGGCACAGCAAACAAAACCTGTTTTGCATTCTATTTATATTATTGTGTAATGCAATGCTTATCAATAGGATGTCAGACAGTGTTCTAACAGCTCTGTTCACGGTAGTTCTTCATCTGGAAGATGTTACTTCTCTGTTAAGTGACTACAGCTAGTGCACATTGTACTATCATTGGCAGAATTACTGCAAGACTAGCTGTGAATGCCTCTTGTAAGCACTGGCTTAAATTTGTGTTTGTATGGCATAAGAGTACTTTTGTCAGTAAAATCTGTCCTAGGTGGAGTTACAATGGTGCACTGATCAAACTGGTTGCGTGGTTTAGTGGTTGATAATTTCCTCCAACAAGAAAAAGCTACATTCATACATATGTTTCTGGATCAGTGTAACAGGGTCCAAATGCAGGGTTTACTTAGCTGTATGGTTTGTACTGGAAAAAATAAAGTGACTTTTTTTTGCTGCTGAACGTTTTTGCCATACAATATTATAAAATGCACTCTCACTTGGTATTTTTTTACCTGCTGAGCTTTTAGGCAAGGCCTGAGACTGGGAGGGCTCATCTGAGTAGTTCAAAATACCATAATGCACACAATTTAAATGACTAACTATTTATTTATATTAAATTAGAAAAACAGTTCTTACTTTTTGAAAGTGCACTAAAAACTGCAGGAAACTGATGTTAAATCAAGGCATTTTCCATATTCTATATTCTTACCCACAGCTGTTTTAGTCTGTTTTCTTTGCTTTGTTTTTAACATAGAATCATGGAATCACAGGCAAAATGATGTTGGGAGGCTCTCCAGAAGTCCCATGTCCCACCAGTTCAGTGAAGAGGTCAGATGTGGTTGCTCAGGGCTTTACCCTGTTGGGTTCCAAGGATGGGGAATTCTCAGTGTTTTGGAGCAACCTGCTCCACTGCTGCTCAGTCCTATTTTAACTTTATTTATTTCAGCTTATGTGCACAATCTCTTATTCTGCTGTCTAGTACAGGAGAGCCTGACTTCATCTTCTCAGAGACCTGCTTGCTGGTAGGGGTAAGCTGCTCTGAGGTGCTCCCCAAATGGGCTGAAGCAGCAACTCTGCCACTCAGACTCCGTAGTATAGCAGCTGCTTCAGCCCCTGAGCATCCTGGTAGCCCTGTTCCCCATGCTCCCAGTCCTCAGCTTGTATCACTGCTGTATGCTGTTCTTTCTTCCCAGGACAGGATTTTTACTTTTGAGCTGGAAGAATTTCACACAGTTCCCATCACTGCCTTCCCTAGGAAAGACCAGCCTAGGTCTTCCAACCAGAAGACAGTCCTGCTCGTGAGCCTGTGGTCTCTCCCATTTAGTGTTTTCTGCAGACTTGATGTAGATATTAAACAGGAAAGGTCCCTTGGATCCTGTGATCTTCCTGGCTCCTGGCCTCCAGGCATAAAGTCTATGAATCTATATTTTTCCTCTGAAATAACATCTTTCTGCACTTAGTTTCCATTGAACTAATTTAGGTGCTAAGGAGAAAATGGAGGTTGCAGAAGGAAGATCTTGGTACTGTGGAATAAGATTAAAAGTGGTTCACATGAATGTTTAGTGAATCACTCATTATATTACAATTGTCAAATACCTAAAGAAATGGAAAAGTTTATTTGTGCTGGGTGAAACTTAACTGATAACCTCAAGAGGATGAAAATAAATCCTTTATGAACATATTGTGTGTTCCAATGGCATTTCTGTTCATAGGGTAGGAGCAAGTCAAAATTCTGTTTAGAAGGTAGGTTACCACCACCTCTTTTCTCACTTCACCTTCTTAATATTCTCTGTTAATCCAAG